GTGATGTAATGCATTTGTTACTGTATGTGCTAACTGGCTGGATGATGTACTGTGTTGGTTACTGTAAGTGCTAACTGGCTGGGTGATGTACTGTGTTGGTTACTGTATGTGCTAACTGGCTGGGTGATGTAATGCATTTGTTACTGTATGTGCTAACTGGCTGGGTGATGAAATGCGTTGGAGATAATGTTCTGTCTGATTATTTCAGCCACATCCTGGATACGCAAGTAACAGAAAGAGAATTCCTGGAACACCTCCATGAGTTAAACCACAAAATTAATTTTGTCAAGGAACAATCCTTCCGAGATGCAAAATCATGTTTTGATGTTCGTGATATTCTGGAAAAATTGAAAATAAAGGTGAAATATTATGACATTTGAAGATTTGAAAAGAAAAAAAATCCGGTTTTAGTGTAATGGAATCATATCTATGTTAACAAGCTGAATGTAAATCTGTTCAGTGATTCCAGGATATCTGTATTACTTTCATCTATTTCAGTTGTTTCAAACATTTTACTTTGCATAAGTGGTAACATCATGCTCAGTACAGATTTTACTTCTTATAATTGATGTTGTGATGAAGAAATAAAATGTGTGCTATAAATTAAGGTTCTTTATTTCATAGGTGAACTTGAATATTGACATGATGTACAGCTAGCAGTGTGAACTGTACCTGTCGGCCATTGTCTCATCAGAGATGTAATTCTATGACAATTCATGTTCACAGGCGATAGCCAAAATCAGAGAGTTCGTCATGCAGAAGATCTACTCCTTCCGTAAGCCTATGAGCAACTACACAATTCCACAAAATGCAATGCTGAAGTTTAGGTATGATTTATTGTTGAAAAGAATCTGTGACAGAATGCATTCACTAAGTATAATGGTGTTTTAGACTACCCAAACTGTAGGTTCAAGTGAGCTGTTGCCAACTATGCTCATGTGTTGTCCATCATATGTCAGCTTTTTAGGTCACCTGAGCTTTAGCTCAAGTGACCTATTGCTATCCGTCTTTGTCCGTCGTCGTTCGTCATCCATCGTCCGTCATCCGTCGTCCGTTAACATTTTACATTTTCAACTTAAGCTGAAATACTGGCAAAGGGATTTCATTAATATTTCATGGGAAGGTTACTGACATCTCCCTGACCAAGTGTTGTTATTTTTCGGATCGATCAGAAATCCAATATGGCCGCCATGGCCGCCATTTTGAAAAACTATTTCAAACTTAAAGTCAAGTTCTGCTGGGCCGATTGAACTGAAACTTATTAGGAATGATCAACTCATAGTCCTGACAAAGTGTTGTTATTTTTTGGGTCGATCAGAAATCCAATATGGCCGACGCAGCTGCCATTTTGAAAAACTATTTCGAACTTAATGTCAATTTCTACTGTGCCGATTGAACCGAAACTTAATAGGAATGATCGACTCATGGTCCTAACAAAGTGTTGTTCTTTTTTGGGTCGATCAGAAATCCAATATGACCGACATGGCCGCCGTTTTGAAAAAACAATTTCAAACTTAAAGTCAAAATCTGCTAGGCCGATTGAACTGAAACTTGGTAGGAATGATCGACTTATGGTCTTGACAAAGTGTTGTTATTAAGAAATCCAATATGGCTGCCACGGCTGCTATTTTGAAAATAACCTCAAACTTAAAAACAAGTTCTAATAGGCTAATTTAACTGAAACTCGGTCTAAGAATAATCAGCTCATGGTCCTGACAATCTTAAGTTAACGTTAGACTTAACTATTTTTTACTCAAATTAGTACATATTTCAACAACAGAAATAAATACTGTAGGACTCAGGTGACCATTAAGGCCGATGGGCCTCTTGTTATATTTCATTATCTTCTCTGAAACCTCTGAAAAAAGGTAATGAGCATCATTGGGACAAGTGAAATAAATATTCCTTTATATTCATATATCACCCCTCATTGGCAATTTTTCAAAAATCTCCTCCTCAAGGTCTAGAATGAACAGAATTTTCAGATGTTTCCTTTGCATGATGGTCCCTGTGATCCCAAATGAGGCTACACAAAGAGGTCAACATTTGCTTTGGGTTATTTAGCGTGAAGATTTTAAGTATTTGAGTATGTAGATGTTAAAGAATGTTGATCAACTTTAAACACAGATATTTATTGTAGGTCTCAGACACAGATTATTTATTGTACATGTGTGTTTGGTGTGTTACAGGTTCTTTAATGAATTCCTGATGGCCAATGAGAGACATGTTGCTAAGGAAGTGAGAGATGAGTACATTGATACCATGAGTAAGATGTACTACTCCTATTTTAAGGGTTACCTGAGCAGACTGATGAAGCTACAGGTAGGATCTGTAGCTAAGGAAGTGAGAGATGATGAGTACATTGATACCATGAGTAAGATGTACTACTCCTATTTTAAGGGTTACCTGACCAGACTGACGGAGTTACAGATAATAACTGGGGCAACTATAGGTAGATACAAGTACAGAATTGATAGTTTGTGTCGGGAGATATTGGTAAGGAATTGAGTGTAGGTTTAGAAATATAGGTAAAGGGATAAACACGTATTAAGAGATACAGATAAGGAATCTAGGGTAGGTGTAGAGAAACAGGTGTAGGGAGATATGGGTGTAGACAGATACAGGTGTAGGGAGATATGGGTGTAGACAGATACAGGTGTAGGGAGATATGGGTGTAGACAGATACAGGTGTAGGGAGATATAGGTATAGGGAGATATAGGTGTAGACAGATACAGGTGTATGGAGATAGATACAGATGTAGACAGATACAGATGTAGGGAGATATGGGTGTAGACAGATACAGGTGTAGGGAGATATAGGTGTAGACAGATACAGGTGTATGGAGACACAGGTGTAGACAGAAACAGGTGTAGGGAGATATAGGTGTAGACAGATACAGGTGTATGGAGACACAGGTGTAGACAGAAACAGGTGTAGGGAGATATAGGTGTAGACAGATACAGGTGTATGGAGATAGATACAGATGTAGACAGATACAGGTGTAGGGAGATATGGGTGTAGACAGATACAGGTGTAGGGAGATATAGGTATAGGGAGATATAGGTGTAGACAGATACAGGTGTATGGAGATAGATACAGATGTAGACAGATACAGATGTAGGGAGATATGGGTGTAGACAGATACAGATGTAGGGAGATATGGGTGTAGACAAATACAGGTGTAGGGTGATATAGGTGTAGGGAGATACAGCTGTAGGGTGATATAGGTATAGGGAGATATAGGGGTAGACAGATACAGGTGTATGGAGATACAGGTGTAAACAGATACAGATGTAGAGAGATATGGGTGTAGACAGATTCAGGTGTATGGAGATATAGGTGTAGACAGAAACAGGTGTAGGGAGATATAGGTGTAGACAGATACAGGTGAAGGGAGATATAGGTTTAGACATATACAGGTGTAGGGAGATATAGGTGTAGATAGATACAGGTGTAGGCAGATATGGGTGTAGACAGATACAGATGTAGGGAGAATATAGGTGTAGCAGATACAGATGTAGGGAGATATAGGTGTAGGGTGATATGGGTGTAGACAGATTAAGGTGTATGGAGATACAGGTGTCAACAGATACAGATGTAGAGAGATATAGGTGTAGGCAGATACAGTTGTAGGGAGATATAGGTGTAGACAGATACCGGTGTAGGGAGATATGGGTGTAGATAGATACATGTGTAGTGTGATATAGGTGTAGACAAATACAAGTGTAGTGAGATATGGGTGTAGACAGATACAGGTGTAGTGTGATATAGGTGTAGACAAATACAGGTGTAGGGAGATATGGGTGTAGATAGATACAGGTGTAGGGAGATATAGGTGTAGGCAGATATAGGTGTAGGGAGATATAGGTGTAGACAGATACAGGTGTAGGGAGATATGGGTGTAGACATATACAGGTGTAGGGTGATATAGGTGTAGATAGATACAGGTGTAGGGTGATATGGGTGTAGACATATACAGGTGTAGGGTGATATAGGTGTAGGGAGATATAGGTGTAGGCAGATACAGGTGTATGGAGATATGGGTGTAGACAGATACACGTGTATGGAGATATGGGTGTAGACAAATACAGGTGTAGGGAGATATAGGTGTAGACAAATACAGGTGTAGGGAGATATGGGTGTAGATAGATACAGGTGTAGGGAGATATGGGTTTAGACATATACAGATATAGAGAGATATAGGTGTAGACAGATACAGGTGTAGAGAGATATGGGTGTAGACATATACAGGTGTAGGGAGATATAGGTGTAGACAAATACAGGTGTAGGGAGATATGGGTGTAGACAGATACACGTGTAGGGAGATATGGGTGTACACAAGTACAGGTGTAGGGAGATATAGGTGTAGGGAGATATAGGTGTAGACAAATACATGTGTAGGGTGATATGGGTGTAGACAGATACAGGTGTAGGGTGATATAGGTGTAGACAGTTACAGGTGTAGGGAGATATAGGTGTAGACATATACAGGTGTAGGGAGATATAGGTGTAGGCAAATACAGGTGTAGGGAGATATAGGTGTAGATAGATACAGGTGTAGGGAGATATAGGTGTAGGGAGATATAGGTGTAGACAAATACATGTGTAGGGTGATATGGGTGTAGACAGATACAGGTGTAGGGTGATATAGGTGTAGACAGTTACAGGTGTAGGGAGATATAGGTGTAGACATATACAGGTGTAGGGAGATATAGGTGTAGGGAGATATAGGTGTAGACAGATACAGGTGTAGGGTGATAGCGGTGTAGACAAATACAGGTGTAGGGAGATATGGGTGTAGACAAATACAGGTGTAGGGAGATATAGGTGTAGATAGATACAGGTGAAGGGAGATATGGGTGTAGACATATACAGGTGTAGAGAGATATAGGTGTAGACAGATACAGGTGTAGGGAGATATGGGTGTAGACATATATAGGTGTAGGGTGATATAGGTGTAGACAGATATAGGTGTAGGGTGATATAGGTTTAGGGAGATATAGGTGTAGGGAGATATAGGTGTAGGCAGATACAGGTGTAGGGAGATATTGGTGTAGACATATACAGGTGTAGGGTGATATAGGTGTAGGGAGATACAGATGTAGGGAGATATGGGTGTAGACAGATACAGATGAAGCGAGATATAGGTGTAGGGAGATACAGGTGTAGGGTGATATAGGTGTAGACAGATACAGGTGTAGGGTGATATAGGTGTAGACAGATACAGGTGTAGGGAGATATAGGTGTAGACATATACAGGTGTAGGGAGATATAGGTGTAGGGAGATATAGGTGTAGACAGATACAGGTGTAGGGTGATAGCGGTGTAGACAAATACAGGTGTAGGGAGATATGGGTGTAGACAAATACAGGTGTAGGGAGATATAGGTGTAGATAGATACAGGTGAAGGGAGATATGGGTGTAGACATATACAGGTGTAGAGAGATATAGGTGTAGACAGATACAGGTGTAGGGAGATATGGGTGTAGACATATATAGGTGTAGGGTGATATAGGTGTAGACAGATATAGGTGTAGGGTGATATAGGTTTAGGGAGATATAGGTGTAGGGAGATATAGGTGTAGGCAGATACAGGTGTAGGGAGATATTGGTGTAGACATATACAGGTGTAGGGTGATATAGGTGTAGGGAGATACAGATGTAGGGAGATATGGGTGTAGACAGATACAGATGAAGCGAGATATAGGTGTAGGGAGATACAGGTGTAGGGTGATATAGGTGTAGACAGATACAGGTGTAGGGTGATATAGGTGTAGACAGATACAGGTGTAGGGAGATATGGGTGTAGACAGATACAGATGAAGCGAGATATAGGTGTAGGGAGATACAGGTGTAGGGTGATATAGGTGTAGGGAGATACAGATGTAGGGAGATATGGGTGTAGACAGATACAGATGAAGCGAGATATAGGTGTAGGGAGATACAGGTGTAGGGTGATATAGGTGTAGGGAGATACAGATGTAGGGAGATATGGGTGTAGACAGATACAGATGAAGCGAGATATAGGTGTAGGGAGATACAGGTGTAGGGTGATATAGGTGTAGACAGATACAGGTGTAGGGTGATATAGGTGTAGACAGATACAGATGTAGGGAGATATGGGTGTAGACAGATACAGATGAAGCGAGATATAGGTGTAGGGAGATACAGGTGTAGGGTGATATAGGTGTAGGGAGATACAGATGTAGGGAGATATGGGTGTAGACAGATACAGATGAAGCGAGATATAGGTGTAGGGAGATACAGGTGTAGGGTGATATAGGTGTAGACAGATACAGGTGTAGGGTGATATAGGTGTAGACAGATACAGATGTAGGGAGATATGGGTGTAGACAGATACAGATGAAGCGAGATATAGGTGTAGGGAGATACAGGTGTAGGGTGATATAGGTGTAGGGAGATACAGATGTAGGGAGATATGGGTGTAGACAGATACAGATGAAGCGAGATATAGGTGTAGGGAGATACAGGTGTAGGGTGATATGGGTGTAGACAGATACAGGTGTAGGGTGATATAGGTGTAGACAGATACAGGTGTAGGGAGATATAGGTGTAGACATATACAGGTGTAGGGAGATATAGGTGTAGGGAAATATAGGTGTAGACAGATACAGGTGTAGGGTGATAGCGATGTAGACAAATACAGGTGTAGGGAGATATGGGTGTAGACAAATACAGGTGTAGGGAGATATAGGTGTAGACAGATACAGGTGTAGGGTGATATAGGTGCAGACAGATACAGGTGTAGGGAGATATAGGTGTAGGGAGATATAGGTGTAGACAGATACAGGTGTAGGGAGATGTCGGTGTAGACAGATACAGGTGTAGGGAGATATAGGTGTAGACAGATACAGGTGTAGGGAGATATAGGTGTAGGGAGATATAGGTGTAGACAGATATAGGTGTAGGGAGATATAGATGTAGGGAGATATAGGTGTAGGCAGATACAGGTGTAGGGATATATGGGTGTAGACATATATAGGTGTAGGGTGATATAGGTGTAGGGAGATACAGATGTAGGGAGATATAGGTGTAGACAGATATTGTAGACAGATACAGGTGTAGGGAGATATGGGTGTAGACAGATACAGATGAAGGGAGATATAGGCGTAGGGAGATACAGGTGTAGGGTGATATAGGTGTAGATAGATACAGGTGTAGGGTAATATGGGTGTAGACATATACAGGTGTAGGGTGATATAGGTGTAGACAGATACAGATGTAGGGAGATATGGGTGTAGGCAGATACAGGTGTAGGGATATATGGGTGTAGACATATATAGGTGTAGGGTGATATAGGTGTAGGGAGATACAGATGCAGGGAGATATGGGTGTAGACAGATACAGATGAAGCGAGATATAGGTGAAAGGAGATACAGGTGTAGGCTGATATAGGTGTAGGGAGATACAGATGTAGGGAGATATGGGTGTAGACAGATACAGATGAAGCGAGATATAGGTGAAGGGAGATACAGGTGTAGGGAGATATGAGTGTAGACAGATACAGATGAAGCGACATATAGGTGTAGGGAGATACAGATGTAGGGAGATATGAGGGTAGACAGATACAGATGAAGCGAGATATAGGTGTAGGGAGATACAGATGTAGGGAGATATGAGTGTAGACAGATACAGATGAAGCGAGATATAGGTGTAGGGAGATACAGATGTAGGGAGATATGAGTGTAGACAGATACAGATGAAGCGAGATATAGGTGAAGGGAGATACAGGTGTAGGGTGATATAGGTGTAGACAGATACAGATGTAGGGAGATAAGGGTGTAGACAGATACAGATGAAGGGAGATATAGGTGTAGGGAGATACAGGTGTAGGGTGGTATAGGTGTAGGGAGATACAGATGTAGGGAGATATGAGTGTAGACAGATACAGGTGTAGGGTGATATAGGTGTAGGGTGATATAGGTGTAGGGTGATATAGGTGTAGGGAGATACAGGTGTAGGGTGATATAGGTGTAGACATATAAAGGGAAAGAATTTGTGGTAGGCATAGGAAATACAGATTGAATGATAGAAGGTACCCGGTACAAGGAAAAACCTTTTCATTTTGAAAACCAATGTAATTTCAACTTTGATGAAAAAGTGACATTTTATTTGCAGTTTGAGGAAGTAGCAGAGCGAGAGGACTTGATGGGAGTGGAGGACACCGCCAGGAGAAATATCCTTTTTTTGTAAACAAAAACAATCTTTCCAGGACTACTGGCTTGAAGAGTTAAGAAAATAAATACAATGGTCTAAGATTGTTCATAATGTTTGTTAATTATTTTATATACATTTGACTAAAAGGAAATAGACAAATTTAAGAATTAGAACATATTAACTTTTAGATTAAGGGAATTGATAGCAACATTTTATGAATTACAATTCTCCTTAACATTTCTGACGTTTCTTCTCTACAAAACCAACATTAAAAAACAGGTCAACAGTGTTCACTCTAGGTAACCGTGGCAACATCCTCGGAGCAGATTTGGAGGGACCAATCATTGTTCCTCATGCAGCTCAAAAGTCGGACACAAAGGTGACATTGAGGGCCATTGTAAGGGGCTTATAAGTCTCACGCTCAGTCACAGTTGTGTAGATTATAAGATTAGCTGGTACATAGTACCAGGGGGAGCTTTTGTGGTGGCACTTCATCTGTCATCCATCAACTTAAACATTAAAATACATCTCCTCGATCCTGAGCAGAATTCAACCTAATTTTTGTGGAAGCATCTTTATCCTTTGGGGATCAAACGTTATACAAATAAAGGGACTGGCCCTTATGGGGACTGATGGGTTGGGTCAGAAGGGGACAAATTAGTATATCTGCTTTAAATGACATCTTTTTCCCAACTACAAATCCAAAGTTGAACTTATAAAGGGGCTGACCCTTTTGGTTGTTGAAGGTCAAAATTGGTCGAATGGGAAGATTTTCTCTTCCCAAGCTACATGTACTGGTCAGGTGTTAACACATTGTGGTGGTAGCATCCTTTGCCCATTGCAATCCAAATTTGTATAATAAAGTGGCTAATATTCTTTGGAACTCTCCTAAACTACTGGGCAAATTTCATATGCATTTCCAAAACTAGCCAGGTGAGTGGTCCTCAGGCCTCTTGCTTATGGTTGTTACATTTGAAAAAGAATAAACTTAATGCCTTAATAACATAAATATACAAAATGCATGCAATAATCTGCATTCAAATGCAGCACATGCACTCCCTTGTATCAATGATGTAGTGTCTAGTAGTGTGTTTAAGTGTCTAGTGGTGTGTTTAAGTGTCTAGTGGTCTGTTTAAGTGTCTAGTGGCGTGTTTAAGTGTCTAGGGGGTGTTTAAGTGTCTAGTGGCGTGTTTAAGTGTCTATTGGTGTGTTTAAGTGTCTAGTGGGGTGTTTAAGTGTCTAGTGGTGTGTTTAAGTGTCTAGGGCGTGTTTAAGCGTCTAGTGGCGTGTTTAAGCATCTAGTGGCGTGTTTAATCTTGTGGCGTGTTTAAGCGTCTAGTGGCGTGTTTAAGTGTCTAGTGGTGTGTTTAAGTGTCTAGTGGTGTGTTTAAGTGTCTAGTGGTGGGTTTAAGTGTCTAGTGGTGTGTTTAAGTGTCTAGTGGCGTGTTTAAGTGTCTAGTGGCGTGTTTAAGTGTCTATTGGTGTGTTTAAGTGTCTAGTGGGGTGTTTAAGTGTCTAGTGGTGTGTTTAAGTGTCTAGTGGTGTGTTTAAGTGTCTAGTGGTGGGTTTAAGTGTCTAGTGGTGTGTTTAAGTGTCTAGGGGGTGTTTAAGCGTCTAGTGGCGTGTTTAAGCATCTAGTGGCGTGTTTAATCTAGTGGCGTGTTTAAGCGTCTAGTGGCGTGTTTAAGCGTCTAGTGGCGTGTTTCTGTCTCAATCACTCATTTGTAGGTCCAGGTTCACCTTTTGAAGAAACATTAAAAAAGTGACCTCTGTAACGCACTTTTACATAGGTATAGCATGGGTATACAGCAAACATTTTTGAAGTAGAAGAAATTCAAGTTTTTACCATCATTTTAGTGTGACCTTTGAAATTCACATCTTTTGCTCAGACCATTAGTACTATTTTAGTACTACCTCTTATTAGTAATACTGCATCATTTTATGACTACAGTTTGTTTGAAATACATTAATGACGTAATTAAATGTCTTGTGATATTCATAAGTAAAACAGTATAACTCTATGTGAGATGTAAGGTCTACTCTAAAACTATATACACTGTAAAACAATAACCAGAACTTGTTTTGTTTTACAGTACAACTTTGAGAGTCTTTTCCGTAGTATCCACTTTGCCCTGATGGACAACTGTTGTCGAGAATACCTGTTCCTCGTGGATTTCTACATGGCGTCTGGCTCTGCCTCTATAGATCTATTTAATGCTATAATAGGCAAAACCCTTACACACTATCTGGTAAGCCCTTCTCTGGTCTCTATACATCTGTGTACAAAATATTCAATGGTTTCTCCTATATTTTTAGCGTGATACTATTCCACATCCAGTGTACCAGTCCAGTAAATATGATAGCTGAATTGTTGCTATATTTTACTGAAATTGTATAACTTATTCATTATAAAAACATCAGTATCAACCACACGATTATACAGATGAGACCTTATATCATCACATGTGAATTTATAGAGAACATTCTTGGTTTTCTTTATGTATAATGCATGTAGTTATATATTTCTCAAGTTTTGTGAATATGTTTGTATTTTTCTTGTGTGTGTAAAACATTTAACCCTCCAGTTCAATATACTATAACTGTTATTCGTCAAGAAACGAAGAATATTTGGTTTATTACAAAGTTTTATAATGACATTGGCTTTCGTGAACCATCTTCTCTCAATAAAAGTTGTGAAAAAAAAAGAACTTTAACTGAATTTAAACTTAAAACCTTATATTTCACCAGTAAAAATGTTCATATTGTTATGAAAGACGAAACCGTCTTTATCTGATAAGCTCCCTGTCTGATCCTAACTGATAAAAAGTTAAGTGACAGACCTGATTTTCTATGTTGTTTTTTACACAGAAACAGATGGAGGAGTACATCAATGACTGCTATGATTCCATTGCCATCTTCCTTTCCATCCACATCGTTTATCGTTTCCATGCCATCATGCAGAAAAGATCGGTGCCAGCTCTAGACAGGTATTCACCGTATTGAATATTAATGTTCCAACTGTAGAGTAATAATATCATCATATAGTTGTGTGACTAGGAATACATGCCAGAAATGTGCTGTTTTCTGTGGAGTTTTTTGAGCTTTTATAAATTCTCTTGTTTAGGTACTGGGACGCACTTCAACAAATGATGTGGCCACGGTTTGAGTATCTCCTCGATCTCAACATACAGAGTGTCCGCGACTGTGACCCGCAGAAATTTGGCCATATTGACAACCGGCCACACTATGTAAGTTTGGTCACTCCTTAGAAAAATGTGTGAGAGAGTGTGGACAACTTTTGTCATACATGTAATTCAGTCACGTTAACAGTTGTAATTTGCAATAATATGTTTTGGAGTGTAAAACTAAAATTATGAAGTTAGCAGCAGGAGTTATGAAAATCAGCCATAGTTGTTTGTTTTGTAGATCACACGACGTTGTGTTTATTTTGTAGATCACACGACGTTGTGTTTATTTTGTAGATCACACAACGTTATGTTTATTTTGTAGATCATACTATCTTGTGTTTATTTTGAAGATCACACACCGTTATGTTTATTTTGTAGATCACACAACATTATGTTTGTTTTGTAGATCACACGAAGTTGTGTTTATTTTGTAGATCACACGACGTTGTGTTTATTTTTATTTTGTAGATCACACAACGTTATGTTTATTTTGTAGATCATACTATCTTGTGTTTATTTTGTAGATCACACAAGGTTATGTTTATTTTGTAGATCACACGACGTTATGTTTATTTTGTAGATCATACTAACTTGTGTTTGTTTTGTAGATCACACGAAGTTGTGTTTATTTTGTAGATCACACGACGTTGTGTTTATTTTGTAGATCACACGACGTTATGCTGAGTTCTCAGCAGCAATAGTAGGGATTAACCAATCATTTGCCAATGAGCGGGTCAACCGCATCCTTGAGCAGCTTCAGACAGAGGTGGAGAATTTCATTCTTAAGATGGCTGCTGAGTTTCCCCATCGTAAAGAACAACTGATCTTCCTCATCAACAACTACGATATGATGCTGGGGGTCATTATGGTAAGTCAAGGTCATACCAACTTTAGCATAACCCTTGGGGGAAGGGGTCAGTATGGTAATCAAACCTTTGACATGATGTTAGGGGTCATTGTGGTAGGCCATGGTCATCAAATCAGCAATGTGATGCTAGGAGCCAGTATGGTAGGTAAGTATCACCAATCTGTGACATGATGTTAGGGATGGTTCTTGCATGTTATAGTACATGAAGGCCATCAAATATTTGACATGATGCTAGGAGCCTTTAGGGTAGGCCAAGATCATCACAGCTGTGACATGATGCTGGGGTTCATTATTGTAGTTCAAGGTCATGATAGCTGGCATGATTCTAAGGTCGTTATTGTAGTTCAAGGTCACGATAACTGGCATGATTCTAAGGTCGTTATTGTAGTTCAAGGTCATGATAGCTGGCATGATTCTAAGGTCATTATTGTAGGCCGAGTGGATCAGCGCTCTGGCAGGATTCTTGCAGTCAGTAAAATGTAGTTTATTACTAAATATTTAAAACTGATCATGCAGAAATATTGCTCTATTTGATATATAATTGTAAACATGCATTTTTCCAGGAGAGAACAACAGAAGATTCAAAGGAATCTGAGAGTTTTAAGGAATTGCTGACAGCACGGACAACAGAGTTTATTGAGGAGGTGCTTTCTCCACACTTTGGGGGTCTCATTAGCTTTGTGAAGGACTGTGAAGTGATGCTAGAGCGTGGCCAAACTGACAGTCTGAAACATGAGGAGAGTAAGTAACCTCTCTATGCCTCATTTCCCGGGTTATCAAACCTTCAAATAATATAGCTTATTCAGTTTATTGAGAATCATCATTCAACACTGTCACATTTTGTTGTTTCTCTTACCATTTGTATGGTGAACTAGGTTTGGTAACAACTCCTAGCTATGTCAAGGTCATACAGCATTAAATCTGAGGTCACCTTGTCTCAGAATATGTCAGTGAAATACCTAGGAGACGAAATTGTGAATCTCTAAGTGTCAGAAGTCCATGATGAATGGTTGTTCCAGAAGTCTATTTTGAAAGTGGTAGTGTCAAAAGTCAAGAATGTATATGTATATGTAAATGTATAGCTATGGGTATAACATGGAGCATGTTGTTTGTCACCACCATACATTGGTTACAGGACGGATACAGCAGATAGTAAGAGGCTTCAACAATGACTGGAAACGTGCACTAGAGGTCATCAATGGTGATGTAATGAGAGCGTTTACAAACTTCAAGAACGGAACACAGATACTACAGGTGGGTGTTACATTACAAAGGAGCTACCAGTACTGTACTGTACACTGACAGAACACAGATACTACAGGTGGGTGGTAGTGTTACAAAGGAGCCACCAGTACTGTACTGTACACTGACAGAACACAGATACTACAGGTGGGTGGTAGTGTTACAAAGGAGCTACCAGTACTGTACTGTACACTGACAGAACACAGATACTACAGGTGGGTGGTAGTGTTACAAAGGAGCTACCAGTACTGTACTGTACACTGACAGAACACAGATACTACAGGTGGGTGGTAGTGTTACAAAGGAGCTACCAGTACTGTACTGTACACTGACAGAACACAGATACTACAGGTGGGTGGTAGTGTTACAAAGGAGCTACCAGTACTGTACTGTACACTGACAGAACACAGATACTACAGGTGGGTGGTAGTGTTACAAAGGAGCTACCAGTACTGTACTGTACACTGACAGAACACAGATACTACAGGTGGGTGGTAGTGTTACAAAGGAGCTACCAGTACTGTACTGTACACTGACAGAACACAGATACTACAGGTGGGTGGTAGTGTTACAAAGGAGCTACCAGTACTGTACTGTACACTGACAGAACACAGATACTACAGGTGGGTGGTAGTGTTACAAAGGAGCTACCAGTACTGTACTGTACACTGACAGAACACAGATACTACAGGTGGGTGGTAGTGTTACAAAGGAGCTACCAGTACTGTACTGTACACTGACAGAACACAGATACTACAGGTGGGTGGTAGTGTTACAAAGGAGCTACCAGTACTGTACTGTACACTGACAGAACACAGATACTACAGGTGGGTGGTAGTGTTACAAAGGAGCTACCAGTACTGTACTGTACACTGACAGAACACAGATACTACAGGTGGGTGGTAGTGTTACAAAGGAGCTACCAGTACTGTACTGTACACTGACAGAACACAGATACTACAGGTGGGTGGTAGTGTTACAAAGGAGCTACCAGTACTGTACTGTACACTGACAGAACACAGATACTACAGGTGGGTGGTAGTGTTACAAAGGAGCTACCAGTACTGTACTGTACACTGACAGAACACAGATACTACAGGTGGGTGGTAGTGTTACAAAGGAGCTACCAGTACTGTACTGTACACTGACAGAACACAGATACTACAGGTGGGTGGTAGTGTTACAAAGGAGCTACCAGTACTGTACTGTACACTGACAGAACACAGATACTACAGGTGGGTGGTAGTGTTACAAAGGAGCTACCAGTACTGTACTGTACACTGACAGAACACAGATACTACAGGTGGGTGGTAGTGTTACAAAGGAGCTACCAGTACTGTACTGTACACTGACAGAACACAGATACTACAGGTGGGTGGTAGTGTTACAAAGGAGCTACCAGTACTGTACTGTACACTGACAGAACACAGATACTACAGGTGGGTGGTAGTGTTACAAAGGAGCTACCAGTACTGTACTGTACACTGACAGAACACAGATACTACAGGTGGGTGGTAGTGTTACAAAGGAGCTACCAGTACTGTACTGTACACTGACAGAACACAGATACTACAGGTGGGTGGTAGTGTTACAAAGGAGCTACCAGTACTGTACTGTACACTGACAGAACACAGATACTACAGGTGGGTGGTAGTGTTACAAAGGAGCTACCAGTACTGTACTGTACACTGACAGAACACAGATACTACAGGTGGGTGGTAGTGTTACAAAGGAGCTACCAGTACTGTACTGTACACTGACGGAACACAGATACTACAGGTGGGTGGTAGTGTTACATTACAAAGGAGCTACCAGTACTGTACTGTACACTGATTACCTGGGCCACAGTACAAGTATATAGACACTGACAAACTTTGGTTGAGATTGACAGGCCTGAAGAAATTATAGATTTACTTCTGGAAAAGTTTGCTGGTGAACAGGCCTTTACAACAAATAAAATGACAGAAATTGTGTTATGTTGTAGGGGATTCATACAAAGGATTAAAATCATTTTGTTATGGCCTTGTCATGAAATGAAGGGCATATACATAACTTTTTCCCCATGTCCATTTGTCCACAATAACATAATTAGTTGTCATTACTCTACAACCTTCATTCTTGACTTGATTTTAATGAAACGTGAATGTTGAGTTCCACAATACATCAAACTTACATTTAAGGGTCAAAGTCATAACAGATCACATGAGTCTTGGTAGCATCATGGTTGCTGCTGTTATAAATAGAAAATGGTTGTTATTGACGTACCGTCCTCATTTTCAAGTTCAAGATAATTTCTATCAATCTCGCAGACATTGGATCTAGTTGTGTTATAGGGTGGTTTGCCTTAGCTGTATATAGGACTATAATGTATTTTTTGTGTTGTAGGGGGCCCTAACCTAGGACTATAATTTATTTTTTGTGTTGTGGGGGGCCCTAACCTAGGACTATAATGTATTTTTTGTGTTGTAGGGGGCCCTAACCTAGGACTATAATTTATTTTTTGTGTTGTAGGGGGCCCTAACCTAGGACTATAATGTATTTTTTGTGTTGTAGGGGGCCCTAACCTAGGACTATAATGTATTTTTTTGTGTTGTAAGGGGCCCTAACCTAGGACTATAATTTATTTTTTGTGTTGTAGGGGGCCCTAACCTAGGACTATAATGTATTTTTTGTGTTGTAGGGGGCCCTAACCTAGGACTATAATTTATTTTTTGTGTTGTAGGGGGCCCTAACCTAGGACTATAATGTATTTTTTGTGTTGTAGGGGGCCCTAACCTAGGACTATAATGTATTTTTTTGTGTTGTAAGGGGCCCTAACCTAGGACTATTATGTATTTTTTGTGTTGTAGGGGGTCCTAACCTAGGTCTTTAATGTATTTTTAGGTCACCTGAGCTTTAGCTCAAGTGACCTATTGCTATCCGTCTTGGTCCGTCGTCGTCCATCGTCCGTCGTCCGTTATCATTTTACATTTTCAACTTAAGCTGAAATACTGGCAAAGGGATTTCATTAATGTTTCATGGGAAGGTTACTGACATCTCCCTGACCAAGTGTTGTTATTTTTCGGGTTGATCAGAAATCTAATATGGCCGCCACGGCCGCCATTTTGAAAAACTATTTCAAACTTAAAGTCAAGTTCTACTGGGCTGATTGAACTGAAACCTGGTAGGAATGATCAAATCATGGTCCTGACAAAGTGTTGTTATTTTTCGGGTCGATCAGAAATCCAATATGGCCGCCACGGCCGCCATTTTGAAAAACTATTTCAAACTTTGAAGCAAGTTCTAATAGGCCGATTTAACTGAAACTCGGTCTAGGAATGATCAGCTTATGGTCCTAACAAACTTAAGTTAACGTTATACTTAACTATTTTGTACTCAAATTGGTACATATTTCAACTACAAAAATAAATACTGTTGAACTCAGGTGACCGTTTAGGCCCATGTGTCTCTTGTTTTGTGTTGTAGGGGGGCCTAACCTAGGACTATAATGTATTTTTTTGTGTTGTAGGGGGGCCTAACCTAGGACTATAATGTATTTTTTTGTGTTGTTGGGGGCCTTAACCTAGGACTATAATGTATCTTTTTATGTTGTAGGGGGCCCTAACCTAGGACTATAATGTATTTTTTTGTGTTGTAGGGGGCCCTAACCTAGGACTATAATGTATTTTTTTGTGTTGTCGGGGGCCTTAACCTAGGACTATAATGTATCTTTTTGTGTTGTAGGGGGCACTAACCTAGGACTATAATGTATTTTTTTGTGTTGTAGGGGGCCTTAACCTAGGACTATAATGTATCTTTTTATGTTGTAGGGGGCCCTAACCTAAGACTATAATGTATTTGTTTGTGGTCTAGAGCACCCTTAGGCAAAGAACTCTCAGGAATTTTATCCCAATTAGTTCTAGAGCATCCTACTTGCCAGGGGACTCAATTTTGTATAACCAGTGGATGTGGCCCCCCTGGTGGCAGAGGGGCGGGTCCAATAGGGGAAATAGAGGTAAACTCTTGAAATGTCTTCTTCTTTCGTAGGGATGAAGTGATTTTATCCTAACTTAGTCTGGAGCATCCTTGGGCCAAGTGGACTAGATTTTGTATAAATTGTGGGTGTGGCCCCTCTGGGGGCAGAAGGGTGAGTCCAAATAGGGGAAATAGAGGTAAAACCTTTAAAATCCTTCTTTCCCATAGGGATTAAGGGATTTCTTTTTTTGTGAAATACTTGTTCGCGCAACTCCTCCTTAACTAACAGTTGGATTACAGTGAAACTTAGCACGAATGGTCGATATCTCTGTGCGAAATACGTGTTACTAGTGGCACACTATGGTTTGCTTTGCAATGCTTTGCCTTTGTAAGCCTTTTACTTACAGTTCTTGTTTATATAGCAGCGGGGGTATTAGTTTGCCCTTGGCTTACAGTTCTAGTTTTGTGTTGTAGGGGCCCTAACCTAAGACTATAATGTATTTTTTTGTGTTGTAGGGGGCCCTTACTCAGCTGATCCAGTATTACCATCGCTTTCAGAAGGTGTTATCACAAGGGCCGTTCCGTAATATGGCAATTAGAAATGAACTCATCAATATTCATCATGTCATGGTTGAAGTGAAGAAGTACAAACCAACTTTTTAAATAAAATTATTTGTATCATCTCACATTGAAGAGGTGGTTTAAATTTCAGTGTAACCCATTCCACAATCTAGTACCATCGTTTGTCAAGAACACACGTTAAGTTTGCAATTAAATGAAAATTCTTAAGGACTTAAGATCATAACAATCTGACAAAAACACAAATATATTCTTATATTTTCAAAAGAATTGGGAAAACCTGTTAAAATAACTTTTGGAGTCATTTACAGTGAGGGTATATTTTCTATTATTATGTCAATATGAAGTTCAATGAAATACAGACATTCTATGAAACACTTTGCTGTAAATATCATGTCTGTTCACCAGCTAATTGAAATATATTTCTAGCGTTGTATCTGTGAGACATAACGCTATGAATGCTGTGAGATTTTTGTATTTTGGAGGTTTGTATATGGCAAGTGTGAAGGTATTGTAAACACATGATAAGATGATGGGAGGTCAGTCCAACTGAGCCCTCAGCTGATTCCCTCTGTATGTTACGAGACTGAATTGGTGCCATCGCTTCAAGGTATGGGAACTGTCAGGTTGGCACATTCCCCATAGGGCTGTAGCACATGTCCCCACAGATCTATGTAAGGATGTAGGCTGTGTTACTGTAATATTTACTCCTTTACTTCTGATTAACCATTGGATCTATGTAAGGATGTAGGATGTGTTACTGTAATATTTCCTCCTTTACTCCTGATTAACCATTGCATCTATGTAAGGATGTAGGCTGTGTTCCTGTAATATTTACTCCTTTACCCCTGATTAACCATTGGATCTATGTAAGGATGTAGGCTGGGTTACTGTAATATTTACTCCTGTACTCCTGATTAACCATTGGATCTATGTCAGGATGTAGGCTGAGTTACTGTAATATTTACTCCTTTACTTCTGATTAACCATTGGATCTATGTAAGGATGTAGGCTGTGTTCCTGTAATATTTACTCCTTTACCCCTGATTAACCATTGGATCTATGTAAGGATGTAGGCTTTGGTACTGTAATATTTACTCCTGTACTCCTGATTAACCATTGGATCTATGTAAGGATGTAGGCTGAGTTACTGTAATATTTACTCCTTTACTTCTGATTAACCATTGGATCTATGTAAGGATGTAGGCTTTGTTACTGTAATATTTACTCCTTTACTCCTGATTAACCATTGCATCTATGTAAGGATGTAGGCTGTGTTACTGTCATATTTACTCCTTTACTCCTGATTAACCATTGCATCTATGTAAGGATGTAGGCTGTGTTACTGTCATATTTACTCCTTTACTCCTGATTAACCATTGCATCTATGTAAGGATGTAGGCTGTGTTCCTGTAATATTTACTCCTTTACCCCTGATTAACCATTGGATCTATGTAAGGATGTAGGCTTTGTTACTGTAATATTTACTACTTTACTCCTGATTAACCATTGGATCTATGTAAGGATGTAGGCTTTGTTACTGTAATATTTACTACTTTACTCCTGATTAACCATTGGATCTATGTAAGGATGTAGGCTTTGTTACTGTAATATTTACTCCTTTACTTCTGATTAACCATTGGATCTATGTAAGGATGTAGACTGTGTTACTGTAATATTTACTCCTTTCCTCCTGATTAACCATTGGATCTATGTCAGGATGTAGGCTGAGTTACTGTAATATTTACTCCTTTACTTCTGATTAACCATTGGATCTATGTAAGGATGTAGGCTTTGTTACCAGCTAATTGAAATATATTTCTAGCGTTGTATCTGTGAGACATAACGCTATGAATGCTGTGAGAGTTTTGTATTTTGGAGGTTTGTATATGGCAAATGTGAAGGTATTGTAAACACATGATAAGATGATGGGAGGTCAGTCCAACTGAGCCCTCAGCTGATTCCCTCTGTATGTTACAAGACTGAATTGGTGCCATCGCCTCAAGGTATGGGAACTGTCAGGTTGGCACATTCCCCATAGGGCTGTAGCACATGTCCCCACAGATCTATGTAAGGATGTAGGCTGTGTTCCTGTAATATTTACTCCTTTACCCCTGATTAACCATTGGATCTATGTAAGGATGTAGGATGTGTTACTGTAATATTTCCTCCTTTACTTCTGATTAACCATTGGATCTATGTAAGGATGTAGGATGTGTTACTGTAATATTTACTCCTTTCCTCCTGATTAACCATTGGATCTATGTAAGGATGTAGACTGTGTTACTGTAATATTTACTCCTTTACTCCTGATTAACCATTGGATGACACATTTGATGGATATAAAAAATGCATTGATGTTATAACAGTAGGCATTGATGTTATAACAGTAGGCATTCTAGTTAAAACGTAATGAAGGGAGATATATCTGACTTTAAGGGAGGTAACTCTTACACAAATCGCACATATAATGTGTAAGGTATCATATATCCTCCAGCTGATCACGAAAAAACATTTATAGCGCTGTACTCAAAATAAGTTATATGTGTTGGAGGGTATCAGGTTTGTCTACAACGTGTTTAAGTGTAACAGGCATTAATACAGTACTTCGTTTACATATCAGGGAAACAATTTCAATGAAAATACTATTGATATATCGGTGCTCAATTCAAATTATACTGCTCTGACTTTTCTTGAACAGATATCTTTATTATTTGTGTTCTTACAAATTGGAAGCTGTAGCCTGTATCTTACAATGTTAGGTACCTCCTGTAACTGTAGCCTGTATCTTACAATACTAGGTACCTCCTGTAACTGTAGCCTGTATCTTACAATGTTAGGTACCTCCTGTAAGTTAGTAATGTCAATAAAAGCTTAGTCAACCAAAGTAAACTTAACTTAACTTTGTTTTAGATGTAAGATCAATTTTGAAATTAAATCGAGATATAAAGTGTAACAATGCACTATGATTATACCAGGATTTAACTTTGAATAATATAATATTTATTTGTAAACAATATCACATTTGTTTGAGGGGAGGAGGGAGATGTGCTATTGTTATCGGGGGGCATGTTTGTTTGTAGTGTGAGGAGGGAATGTTTTGTGTGTATGTATATGAAGAGAAAGTACTGAATCAAATTGTTGATCTGTATATATAGAAATATTATCTGTACATATGATGAATAAATATAAATTATTATGGATAACACTTAATGGTTGTTGTTTACATTTATATATACAATGTATATATACATGCTGGTTTGACCTTTGACGAGTCTAGTTTGTCATATTCTGTAAAACAGAATGACCTGTCATGTTGAATTTTGGTGAGTACAGAGTTGTGTTTAAAGAATGATTCTGTCACAATGACCTCTGTAGGCTACACCAGGTATTCCTTCTGAGAGTAGTTACCTACCTGTATAATCCTTATTAGCTCAACTGCCCGAATGGCAAGTGAGCTTAAGCCGTGGCACAGCGTCCATCGTCCGTCGTCAACTTTTTCTTAAAAAACCTATCTCCGCCAAAGAGGATTTCAACCAAATTTAGTCTGAAGCATCACTAGGGGAGGGCAATCATTTCTTAAATAAATGAGGTTGGTTCGACCCCTGAGGCCAGGGGGGCGGGGCCCTGAAGGGGAACTTAGCTAAATTTGCTTTAAAACGCATCTCCTCCTAAATGCCAGAGAGGATTTCAACCAAATTCAGTCTGAAGCATCACTAGGGGAGGGCAATCATTTCTTAAATAAATGAGGTTGGTTCGACCCCTGAGGCCAGGGGGGCTGGGCCCTGAAGTGGAACTTAGCTATATTTGCTTTAAAATGCATCTCCTCCTAAACGCCAGAGAAGATTTCAACCAAATTTGCTCTGAAACTTCATTGGGGGAGGGCAATCATTTCCTTAATAAATGAGACTGGTTTGACCCCTGGGGCTAGGAAGACCGGGCCCCAAAGAGGAAAAAGAGGAAAAATTATCTAATATTTTGCTTTAAGATGCTTATATCCCCTAATTGCCTGCAAACATTTCTTAATTGAATGAGGTTTATTTGACCTCTGCAGTCCTAAAAAATTATACAGCTAGATTATCATATTCTATGGTGTAGTTTTTATAAATTGTTAAAAATTGGTTTCTAGGTTTATAAAAGCTTATAGTTGAATGAAAATTAAAGTATTAGTTGAAAGTCAGATATTGTTGTCCCAGTTGGGTTAGAACATAGATCTTGTCTGGATTTGAGGAAATTTTATATAAAGATGTACTAATGCATTCAGTTGTAATGACTTAAATATAAAACCAGGTGAGCGATACAGGTCCAATGGACCTCTTGTTACACACTACTACAGACAAGAGCAGGGGAAAGGTGATGGTGAAGTAGTTACTATCATTAATATTACATAAAGGAGGTTGAAGGTGAAGGTCAGAGTATCCACTATCACTATTGTATACCAGAGAAGGGTGAAGGTCGCAGTATCCACTATCACTATAATATACCAGAAAAGGGTGAAGGTAAAGGTCACAGTCTCAACTTTCAGTATTACAAACCAGAGAAGGATGAGGTCACAGTATCCACTATCACTATTATATACCAGAGAAGGATGAAGGTGAAGGTCACAGTATCAACTTTCACTATTATATACCAGAGAAGGATGAAGGTGAAGGTCACAGTATCAACTTTCACTATTATATACCAGAGAAGGATGAAGGTGAAAGTCACAGTATCCACTATCACTATTACATACCAGAGAAGGGTGAAGATCACAGTATCCACTATCACTATTATATACCAGACAATTTTGAAGGTGAAGGTCACAGCATCCACTATCACTATTATATACCAAAGAAAGATGAAGGTGAGGTCACAGTATCCACTATCACTATTATATACCAGAGAAGGATGAAGGTGAAGGTCACAGTATCCACTATCACTATTAGATACCAGAGAAGGGTGAAGGTCACAGTATCCACTATCACTATTATATACCAGAGTAGGATGACGGTGAAGGTCACAGTATCCACTATCACTATTATATACCAGAGAAGGATGAAGGTGAAGGTCACAGTATCAACTTTCACTATTATATACCACAGAAGGATGCAGGTAAAGGTCACAGTATCCATTATCACTATTATATAAGACAATTTTGAAGGTAAAGGTCACAGTATCCACTATCATTATTATATACCAGAGAAGGATGAAGGTAAAGGACACAGTATCCACTATCACTATTATATACCAGAGAAGGATGAAGGTAAAGGACACAGTATCCACTATCACTATTATATACCAGAGAAGGATGAAGGTAAAAGTCACCGTATCCACTATCACTGTTATATACCAGACAATTTTGAAGGTGAGGGTCACAGTATCCACTATCACTATTATATACCATAGAAGGATGAAGGTTGAGGGCACAGTATCCACTATAACTATCATATACCAGAGAAGGATGAAGGTGAAGGTCACAGTATCAACTTTCACTATTATATACCAGAGAAAGATGAAGGTGAAGGTCAAAGAAGCAACTTTCACTATTATATACCAGAGAAGGATGAAGGTAAAGGTCACAGTATCCACTATCACTATTATATACCAGAGAAGGATGAAGGTGAAGGTCACAGTATCAACTTTCACCATTATATACCAGAGAAGGATGAAGGTGAAGGTCACAGTATGAACTTTCACTATTATATACCAGAGAAGGATGAAGGTGAAGGTCACAGTATAAACTTTCAGTATTACATACCAGAGAAGGATGAAGGTGAAGGTCACAGTATCCACTATCACTATTATATACCAGAGAAGGATGAAGGTGAAGGTAACAGTATCAATTTTCAGTATTACATACCAGAGAAGGATGAAGGTGAAGGTCACAGTATCAACTTTCAGTATTATATACCAGTGAAGGATGAAGGTGAAGGTCACAGTATCCACTATCACTATTACATACCAGAGAAGGGTGAAGGTCACAGTAGCAACTTTCTAGGAGTAATACTTTGACAACAGATAAAGGTGAATCCTGTATACTTGTGATCTCAGAGTAATACTTTGACAACAGATAAAGGTGAATCCTGTCTACTTGTGATCTCAGAGTAATACTTTGACAACAGATAAAGGTGAATCCTGTCTACTTGTGATCTCGGAGTAATACTTTGACAACAGATAAAGGTGAATCCTGTCTACTTGTGGTCTTGGAGTAATACTTTGACAACAGATAAAGGTGAATCCTGTATACTTGTGATCTCGGAGTAATACTTTGACAACAGATAAAGGTGAATCCTGTATACTTGTGATCTCGGAGTAATACTTTGATAAATTTGATAAAGGTTAATCGTGCAGCATGAACAGTAGAACTAATCTGCTTTGATTGCAGTGTAGCTTGTTTACTAATTACTTCAAAACACAGGTACCACTGTCTATCAGCCTTTAGTGCCTGCAGTCAGTTTTATTGTCTGAAACCAATTAAATAGCTTACCATGAGCCTTTGATTTTGTCACAAGAAAATCCAAGGGTGTAGAAAAGATATGTATTATATCTAGAGTGCAACCTTTGAATTTTAAATATGGTTGAATGTCATATATATATATGTCGTCACTGGTTCAGAAACACAGATGAAAGTTAAAGTGAAACAGTCATAATACAATTAATACTGTTCATACACACGTGGGGGTCTGAGAAGTGTCCTAGGTTGATAATTGGTTGCCTCCTATGATCATGAAGTGGGATTAAGCAGATCTGTTCTTCCCCAACCTGCACGAGTTGTTTGGTAGTGTTAGGAGACCCGCTAAATTATCACAAGTTGTTTGGTAGTGTGAGGAGACCAGCTATTTTGTCACAAATTGTTTGGTAGTGTGAGGAGACCAGCTATTTTGTTATACTTGTACCATAATGGCTTAATTCTCACAATTTGAAGCTAAGAACAGAGGAGTTTGTAAACAATTTCTTAACTGAAAGACCTGGAGAATTTGTTTGTAAATCAAGTTGCAATTAATCATTTATTGACATAAAGGATGAAGTGTCCACTTGTTTATTATCACCTCCTTATATAGCTATCTATATGTTGGGGCAGCTTTTATCCTCTTATCATTTTTTCGTTTTCATTATAAAATCATGCAGTTTTACTTAATCTCTTGACAAGATAATTTATTAAATCAGCATTTAGCTAATTGAGATGAAAGGGGATAAAATAAATCAATTTTAATGAGCATGAGAAATGGTCTTCAAAAAGTGTGGAGAAGATGTGCATTGATTAGGTTGCCTTACAAGCGTCAGCTGTAGGGAATTTCCCTTTAGCTCGGCAGTAGAGCATCGGGCTGGAGAGCCAAGGGTCGTGGGTTCGAGCCCCAGCCCCACCGATTGCACTATCTTTATCACTATTCCTCTTCATACTACACAATGATGGCGTTTCATTATCTACTCCTGAAGATCTTTTTAATAGGTGTGGTAATGGGATTTATCAAAATCCACCTTATGTGTATAGGACGAACATGTGACCAAAATGAATATCTGCAATAGAGTGTCTCAATTCACACATAGATCTGCCTGACAGTAAAGAAACTTAATACATATACTTTCAGATATGCAGATACCAGATTTTCGTGTTACGCAGAATTATACCTCATTGGCAGAGAAATCAGTGCGATCTAATTACACTTCAGTATGCCCAGAGACGTAAATAATAATAATAATAATATTCAGGTAAAAGGCAAATAATGCATGTATATCACATTTTGCAGATTGGCCATCAATATATATACTATTACAGAGGTTATTTATAAGTTATTTATGCCATAAAACTAGGAATCAGTCAGGTGTTAAAACTGGATTGGATTAGATTAATTTAGGCCTTTACCTGGGATGATTCCAATGGGATCACTTAGATCGTAATAAATCAATTCAATTCATAAAATAGTTACATAAGTATATAGTATATATTGATAATTTGATGAGACTCTAAGACACTTCTTTCATAAAAATAGATATAAAATGTTACATGTGCCATAGGCTATAATCAATAAAATAATGCTGGTAATTGAATGATATAAAATATGAAGTAAAAAACATATATTCAAATTTTAACAATTAAAGATATATAGTATTAACATCAAATGTTACTTGCCAAAGGGCTGGTGGTTGGGCCAATCCCCACTGACCAAACTCTCAGACATTTACCGGTATATACGGTAACTAAAAAAAATTTTGAATAAATAGGATAGTAACAAGTGTATCCCGTTTGGAATAGTTAAAATTTGATACAGACGATACATTTAAACCAATTGAATTTTATTAAAATCTGTTTGCTTCCTGCAGAAAAGGGCTGTTGGTGGTTGGGCCAGTTCCTATACCGACCAAACTCTCTTACTGCGTAAAGTTATAGCACGGAATTAGATTAGATTGTTATCCAAGTCTGTGGTAATAGTAATTATTACACATTATAGTATGACACAACATAAATTGGGATGTAAGTAGGATTTAAGTCAGAAGTAAATAATGCCTTTGAATAATTCAATTAACAAATTTTAACAAGTTTTATCTAAATTAATTGCTACCAGGTACTTGCAGAAGAGGGCTGGTGGTTGGGCCAATCGCTACCGACCAAACTCTCAGACTGCATATACTATAATGTTGTTATAACAGTGTTTATAATTTACTGGATGATCTGCCTGGTGATTATTGCTTTATACCCATACGTGCTGTAACAATAATTACCTTACCGTGTAGATCAATTCAGTTATTGTTTTGCAATCAATTGATACAACAACGTGCGATGATTTATTTATGAATCATTCCCTAGGAATGTCATGTCCGCCCCAAGCCAACATATCACACCTGGCGGCAGACATCAAAGGTGTCGCTCTTGTCAATAGTATATGACGTCACAACCACTCACCGACGCTTCATTTCCTGTTCAACATGGCCGCTTTCCACTACAACTATGCGATTGTTAGCCGTATTCCCGACAGTTTTCAGGACATCCAGGTGCAGCAGGCAGATGCAGACCTTATCGACATTGAAAAGGCACGCGAGGAACATCAAGAATTCATTAAGACCCTGAAAAAATGCGATGTGCGCGTGATTGAGTTGGCATCGGACGAGGCGTACCCCGAATGTGCTTTCCTTGAAGATTGTGCACTGGCCATAGGAGGGGTTGCTCTTATCCTTAGACCTTTCTCCAAAACCCGACACGGAGAGGTAGGTCTTGTTTAATCATGGATTCGGCATCTATAGCTTTTTCTACATTTAACGGCCTGTCATGGTTAGCTTCATTTGCAACGTTAGAACTGTACACTTCTTATATAATTAGCAGGTCCAGTACACTTGCCGATTGAGCTATATAGCTGTAAAGACCTATAATAGCTCTATTGACCTATCTGAAATAGGTCTTTTGAGCTATTTTCAAGTGATTTTCTTTTTTAAGGAAAACGGAACGAAGTCGCATTTAAAAGAAGATTGTATCATTAAGTTGATAACAAAAGACATTAAATATAAGTATTCTTTTTAAAAAGAAATGATGTGAAGAAATCGGAAATTTTACATTTATGAAGTAGTCAACATTACCATTAACCTTATTGTTTTATGCGACTTTGCTTTAATTTAATGAAATTTGAAATCTGAGAAAATATAGCTCAATACAGCTATAATTTATAGGTGTGTATAGCTATATAGGTCTTTATAGCTATATAGCTCAATCGGCAGAGTGTACTGGACCTGATTAGGACAGTAAAGGATCAATTTGGATAAAAGCGCTGTCGACGATTTTTTCATAGCCTAGTTTCATAAATCACTATATTTTGAGAAGGTATAGCCTACATCTACTAAAAAGTAAGGCCAAATACAAATATATGTGTGTTTCCTGTTTCGGCTCCAAAAAAATAGGGTAGGTAGGAAAACATTCTATATTATTTTTTCATTTTTTCCTAGTGAAGAAAATTTCCTGATTACCTATGTTAAAAATACTGTTTTAAAGAATGAATGGCACCAAATTGAAAAGTTCTTATTCATGTAAAATTAATACACAAATTAAAAAATCCCTGCATTTATAGTTTTTGCGTTGAGCAGGCCCAAACAACACATTGAAGTAAATTATGGAATAACCAACTTAATTTTCATGAGTGCTGCCACCAGTGTTACATTTCTAAACTATCCCTAGCTACTTGCTGCTGGACACAACAGGACACTAGATTTTAGCCGTCCAAACTCCACTGATGGTCACCAGTGTAACATTCTCTTTTCTGTTACTGATGCTTTCTGTTCTCAATTTCCACTGGCACCAGATCAAATTAAATGAACAACAAACTTAAGTACATTTATATTCACACTATATTTTAATTCGTCATAAAAAATGCATTTCTTCACTATTGTAAACTAAATCTGTCAACTCCAAACTTATTTCCAACTTTAAACTGTTAATCTACACAGATCTAGAAACTTATTACAGATAAAGCTACTATTATTACAAACTTCCTAATTCTCACTTTAACTCTAACTTTCTAACTCTCCTCTATATATCTCTAGATCTCTCAATTCTGTCTCCCTAACTCAATTACCTCCTTTGTCAAGACTCCTTTCCTCAACTCCCCAACCCAAATCTTTTCTCCTCCTTTGACTCCTAAGCTGGACTACCGCACTATCTATCCCTTAGGAATTACATTAAAATTGTTGATGTTGCGGAAATCCTGCTAAAACTCGACCCCATATGACTATAAGTTGAACTGGCCATAAGTCCTGCTAAATGTGATTCCTTCGGTCAGCATCCAAGACTGGACTCAATGTACTTATATTGGATTGATAAAATCACAAGCGCCAAATATTCCGACTCTCTGTACATCTTCCACTGTTCTGTCAAATTCTATAATTAAATTATATAAACTTGAATATTAAGTTGCAATCTCAATAGATACAAAAGTCAATTTTCCATTGCAACACATGTACATCAGCAATGCTTGACATATACCAGGTAGTTTACCAAGCCCTTTCACTTGCTTCACACTGACCAAAGGTATCAAATAAAGGCCTAGTCACAGTTTTGTTTAAGGGCCATTATATTAATCATAAACATAAATTGGAGTGTGTGTAATTTTGTCTGTCACTCATCACATATTCACAAGGTCCACATCACAAATAAATGGGAAAATTGTACATCTTTTAATAGTGTAACTGGAAGGCATTAAGTTGGATTTTTTTTGCATTTGCTGTGGGCCACTAGGGATCAAATCCATAACCTCAGACTTTCTAGTCAGACGCTCAACTGCTGAGCTAGACAGAAAATCCCCTCTAGCCAACGACACTAGACGACTTCAGACATTATGTACAATTTACAGATCCCTTGCGCTACTCTACCCATTTTCAAAGTCAACCCCAATCCAGGTTCTTCTGCTCCCTGCCAGTTGCAAGGGTTCTCTACTTCTTGGACAAGGAGGGTCAACAACACCAGTTTGTAATTGGAAGAAAGTAGTGAAAAGAATACATGATTTCCCTGGGTGTTGAGCCGGCCAACCCAGATTTGCTAGTCATTCTCTGCACCATTGAGCTAAAGAGAAATTCCCTCTAGCCGAAGCTTCAGGTAGTAAGGCAACTCGGATACTGTGTACAATGTGTACATACTTTACCATTGATTTTCTAATGTCACATGGTCATGTGAAGCTTAAGCCTCTTGTGTGAAAGTGACAGCAGTAAATTTAACCAATTTTCATTAAGTGTATATAAAATGCACCTAAAATAACCAGTCAACGAGATGGGAGTCAGATCATCAGTACTAGTGTCAACTTGTGACATGGACAGATAATTACTCAAATACTTCAGCACTTCACAGGTCCTGGCAATGCCATACAGATAAAATAGAGATCATCAGAGCTTTTGTCACATTCCATTGTGTATCCCCCTTTCCACTGATTTAGAAAGCCATTTTCATCAATGTCATCTATTTCTAATTTATTCATCCTCCAGATTTTGTTTTAAGGAAAATGTAATCAGGATCAATATTTAAACTTCAAGAGCCTTCATCCATTCTAGTGCATGTAAATAATATGATCATCGAAACTCCAGATCCCTACGTATACACATCATATTGGTCCAAACATTTACTCTACATACATGTTTGACCAAACATTGGTTGTAAATTACTTTAATGAGCTCTTTTTGACCACTTAAGTTGTAAGTGACTTTAATGAGCTCTATTTGCCACATAGGTTGTAAGTGACTTTAATGAGCTCTATTTGACCACATAGGTTGTAAGTGACTGTAATGAGCTCTATTTGACCACATATGTTATAAGTGACTTTAATGAGCTCAGCCTCTATTTGACCACATATGTTGTAAGTGACTTTAATAAGCTCTATTTGACCATATAGGTTGCTGGAGTCCGGAAGCTGCTACAGGACCTCAATCTTCATGTGTTTGAGATCAAAGACCCTGACGCATTTGTTAATGGAGGCGACGTCTTCTTCACCGGTGAGTACCCAGACAAGGCATACACAGTGTAGTTACAGGCGTCAGGATGTAACAGCTGCTCCTTCAGTCTAACATGGCACAGCAAACACCTGCTGTTTTACATGTCTTGAGGCAAACTTTTGATAAACACCAGTATATGCCTACATGTACAATAAGGTTTTTAGGTGTGTAAATCCTGATGGTCTAAATCCTAGGAACCAGGCAGTATCCAGTGTCTATTTTCTTGACTCTACTTTTAAGCATGAATCCCCCATTGTCTAGGCCTGACACACCACTTCCAAGCATGTATACCTGACAATCAAGGTACTCTATGCCAGGCATGTATCCCCCATGGTCTAGGTCGACATGCAAGACATGTATCCCCAACCCTCAACGCCCTGTAAAACAAGGCTTGTACGCAAACCAGGTGGTATCCATTTTCTTGGACCTACACTCCACTTTCAAAAGCAATCTCCCTGCTGTCTAGGTCCTACTCGCCAAACACCATATTGCAAGTCAAGGTCGACATCCTAAATATTGGACATATGTCCCACCCTGCCTAGGCCCTAATCTCCAGACATTACCTTTACACCCCCAGCCATCTAGGTCAAGGTCCCACATAATGGACATATGTCCCACCCTGCCAGGCCCTACTCACCAGCAGACATTACCTGTACATCCCCAGCCATTTAGGTCAAGGTCCCACATAATGGACATATGTCTCACCCGGCCTAGGCCCTAATCTCCAGACATTACCTTTACACCCCAAGCCATCTAGGTCAAGGTCCCACATAATGGACATATGTCCCACCCTGCCAGGCCCTACTCACCAGCAGACATTACCTGTACATCCCCAGCCATTTAGGTCAAGGTCCCACATAATGGACATATGTCCCATCCTGCCTAGGCCCTAATCTCCAGACATTACCTTTACACCCCCAGCCATCTAGGTCAAGGTCCCACATATTGGACATATGTCCCACCCTGCCTAGGCCCTACTCACCAGACATTACCTTTACATCCTCAGCCATCTAGGTCAAGGTTCCACATAATGGACATATGTCCCACCCTGCCTAGGCCCTACTCACCAGGCATTACCTTTACATCCTCAGCCATCTAGGTCAAGGTCCCACATAATGGACATATGTCTCACCCGGCCTAGGCCCTAATCTCCAGACATTACCTTTACACCCCCAGCCATCTAGGTCAAGGTTCCACATAATGGACATATGTCCCACCCTGCCTAGGCCCTATATATAGCTACTCACAAGACATTACCTTTACACCCCCAGCCATCTAGGTCAAGGTCCCACCTATTGGACATATGTCCCACCCTGCCTAGGCCCTATATATAGCTACTCACAAGACATTACCTTTACACCCCCAGCCATCTAGGTCAAGGTCCCACATACTGGACATATGTCCCACCCTGCCTAGGCCCTATATATAGCTACTCACCAAACATTACCTTTACACCCCCAGCCATCTAGGTCAAGGTCCCACATACTGGACATATGTCCCACCCTGCCTAGGCCCTATATATAGCTACTCACCAGACATTACCTTTACCCCCCCAGCCATCTAGGTCAAGGTCCCACATACTGGACATATGTCCCACCCTGTCTAGGCCCTATTACCTGAGATTTTGTTTCAATTTCAATAACCATTTTGATGTGAATGTAATGAGTGCATTATCCTATTTCAGAATGTTTTGCTATTGTAAGGAACATATTACACACCATCCTGTTAAAATTCTGAATCCACATAATTTTGCTGTTTAATATTCAGTGTGTGTACTAAATGAGTCATAAATGTGAGAATCACAGATGTATGTGACAATTCCCAATTTTCTGCCTGAAATATACCGTTGATTGTTCCTAATGCAGCAACATACACAGCTGATAAGATTTGTCCTTAAATGTCATCTGTTATATAATCTTTACTGAACACATCGGGGAGTTAACTCCTCCACCACGTCCAGCTATAGTTTGTATCATCATACCAGTAGCTTTTATTGAGGAAAACCATTTATTCCTCCATTCCTCCATCCACCCATCCACTCACTCATGGTATCAATGTATGTAAGCAATGTCCACTTCTTGAGATGCATCTTCATGGTTAGAAATATAGTGCCAGGGACCATGATTTGGGGGGGGGGAATGGTCACTGAGAAATTCCTACAAGACATTAAACACAGGTTTAATTTCAACACAAGACAATACCACAAGTTGTAATATTATATATAAGTAAAACCATCTGAGTTTTTCTCGCGATTGACTTTTTCCAATTCACAATCACCCTTATATTATTTGAAGCCTCTTTAATTGAAAAATGAGCAAGAGGCACCACATCAGAGTTCCAAGTGACGGCCACAGATACAACAATGGTGGCTCATCTTTACGGTTGTTATTGTTCTGTTCTGTGTAATAAAGTAATGCCTTTTTGGTAGGTAAACACACCTTTTTTCCCCTTGGTTAATCAGGATTCAATCATCAGACTAGACCCATGTGGAAGGTATTTATCTTGGGGAAACAAACAACATACTCTTCCCTACACAGAGAGGAATAACTGTACATACACACAGTGATTATGATGTTACAACAGATTGCAGATACATATCTTTACACAAAACACATGTTAACACTGATACAGGTACAGACAACAGGTATACCCAGGTAATGGGTCAACCAAGCCATTACTGACTGGATACTGTACAACCACACCAACATAACTCCACTAAAGGTTTGTCGTCTGTCAGATCTCGGTACCACTCCTGTCTGTCAGGATCATGTTTATCAGACTCCGGTGTGCAGTGATATAGATTGTTTTAATGTTAAGACTACAACACATGTGTAAGCTTTACGATAAAAGGTGAAGGTAGAGCAGACACCACATCCAACCTGGTATGTTCATGTAGTGGTGATAATGAACATGGTGAGACTGACGGCAATAGTAGTCAGGACGAAGAACAGACAGAAGAAGATCAGGTCTAGGACCGAGACGAAATCTCCCCAATTCAGCACTTCACCTTCAGAGGAGACCGCAGCCAAAACTTGCCCTGTTTTCATTTGTTCACACCCAATGTTGGACGTCAAATCTACTGTAGGTCTCGTCTCGGTACAATTGCAATGAGTGCTTGGTTTTGATGTAAGCATTCTTTTTAGCTGTGTGACCCCGAGATCATTGTGCATGTCTTCTATTTGACCCGGTGCTAGAGGGCTCGAGGTTGGGTGTAGAGAGTGAGAGGTTGGGTGCAGTAATACATCATCAGCATGTGGATTTACCTTGGCTGGCCCAAATTTTACCCCAAAACAAGCTTGCGCCCTCCTTGTGAATCGTATAAGGCGCTGAGCACACAGAGGTGCAGCCTCACTATGTAGACGATTGTGAAGACGAACCTGGACCACTGTTACCATGACAATAAGTGTTCCCAAAGACAGTTGGGTCAGTAAGTAGGTACTCAGGTAGGACATTGTCTGGGAATTGACTGGAAGAGAGTTACTCACTATGGTGAGGAAGACGGCGAACGACAGGTAGACCATCATGCTGTAGCCGATCTTTTCACCACTGTCAACAGGAATGATGAATGTGAAGATGGCAAGGACAGAGAGGAAGAGGACTGGGCAGATGATGGTGAACCAGTAATACTGTGGTTTCCTCCTCATGTTCAGGGTCACCTCAATCTGATTAACATCAATTTGGCTGGTGGTCCGTCTCACCTGGGTGGTTACCAGGTCCCACAGTCCATTGGGTTGGAAGGACTGGAGCTCCACCTTGTCCAAACCCAGGTCAAATATCATATCCACAGGAGATGTAGTCCATGCCCCAAATATCAATTTGCACGATTGACTGTCAAAGGGGAAATTTACTATATCTACATAGCATTTAGTCTTGAACACCTCATACGGCTTCCAGAAGACAGCCCCATCGTGTCTAATTTTGACTAAGATGACATTGTCTCCAAGTTCCTGAGGTTTTATGAAGCCATTCTGTAGTGTGAGGTCTGGTTTCCACACCTGATTTTGGGTCAGATAGAAATAGTCCATGTCACTGTAGTTATCTGGATTCCAGGTAAGGTATTGGTCAGTCCAAACCAGCTCCAGGAAGCCTGTTGTGGTCAGCTTCTCTTCTACCTCATCCAAATAGTTGATTCCATTCAAGTGAAAAGACACATGTGCAGTTATGGGGACTTGGAGGTCACGTCTTGGAGGAATCGTTCTTTTATAGTCACGTTTGTGGAACAAATCATCCTGTAGGGTTTTGAGATCAGCTCCTGACTGCGACAGGGCACGGTGTAGCTGTGACAGTATTGTTAACACCACAAAAAGGGTACACTCCATGCTAGCTGGACACGGCTTCAGTAATTCACAGTAACTGTGGGTATAACTGTTACTAGCTGGACACGGCTTCAGAAATTCACAGCAACTGTGGGTATAACAGTTATTAGCTGGACACGGCTTCATAAATTCACAGTAACTGTGGGTATATCTGTTACTAGCTGGACACGGCTTCAGAAATTCACAGCAACTGTGGGTATAACAGTTATTAGCTGGACACGGCTTCATAAATTCACAGTAACTGTGGGTACAACTGTTACTAGCTGGACACGGCTTCAATAATTCACAGTAACTGTGGGTATAACAGTTACTAGCTGGACATGGCTTCAGTAATTCACAGTAACCGTGGGTATAACTGTTACTAGCTGGACTCGGCTTTAGTAATTCACAGTAACTGTAAGATATAACTGTTACTAGCTGGACACGGATTCAGTAATTCACAGTAACTGTGGGTTTAACAGTTACTAGCTGGACACGGCTTCAGTGATTCGCAGCAACTGTGGGTATAACTGTTACTTGCTGGACACGGCTTCAGTAATTCACGGCAACTGTGGGTATAACTGTTACTAGCCGGACACGGCTTCAGTAATTCACAGCGACTGTAAGGTATAACTGTTACTAGCACGGCTTCAGTAATTCACAGTAACCGTGGGTATAACTGTTACTAGCTGGACCCGGCTTTAG